CCCGATGCGGGACTCGATCCCGGGACTCCAGGATCATGACCTGAGCCGAAGGCAGTCGCTTAACCAACTGAGCCACCCAGGCGCCCTGAAATATATTTTATCATAGATTCTTTGGAAGTATAAAATCCGGTAAAAATCGTGTTGTCTCACCCTCCAGAGACGGCTACTATTAACAGTTTTGGTGTGTTTTCTTCCAGTACTTTTTACATATATGTAAGTGTAGTGTGTGTATTTTCAAACTTACGATCTCACTGGGTGTATTTTTTTTCAATTATGAACCTTTCCTTGTTCAAAACATCCACCAGCTTTCCATTGCAAGGCTTACTGGAAAGATCTGGAAGCAGGACCAGGGAGCTGGGAGAGAGCGAACCCCTTTCCTTCCCCAACTCCTTTGGGTAGGGGTTTGGGGGCCACCCAGGAGGACCATGGGGACTATTCTCCAGGACAAGCCTGGTTGAAGGTAAGAGGCAGAGTGAAGGTTTCTTGAAGGGGTTGAAAATGGAGGAGTGTTTGTTTAGCCTATATTGGGGTTCCAGGCTCACAGCAGAAAGGCTGGGAAGGAAAGATGAGGCAGTGAGGGGCTATAAGGGGAAGAAGCAGAAAGCAGCGTGGGGTGGGATTTAGGGAAGGGCTTGTCCTCTCCGCGGTGGCCACAGTCAGTGGGGATGAAAGCGTTCATTTGAGCACCCAAGCCAATCCTGCTTGTGACAAAAAGAGTTCATTCTGATGTCAGGGACAAAATCTGCCCACACCTTTCCAACTTCGAGCAGATACACAGCTCTGTGGCTGCCAGGGAGCATCCTCATGTTTAAAAGGGGGCCTTTCCTTGTAATGTCAGAAGGAAGTGGCCTCTCCTTGCACCCTGACCTCAGAGCTCTGGAAGGCGGGAGGATCAGGTAGCACACAGTACATCCTGCGGGCTTCCCTTTCTGGCTCAGGGGGCCTGTGGCCGTCAGTAACAGTTAATGTTGTGCATTAGCAACAGAGTGTGACCTCATTGTTGAAAAAATTAGCTGTCCTTATTACACAAGTATTGGGGATTTATTTTTAAAATTGGTATAGATCTCATCCACCCCCACAATATTTTATTCATTTGCCCTCTTGAAGGTTGGTTTGTTTTGAGAGTTAAAATGAGGGGCTCGTTAGAAATCAGAGGAGGATCTAGCACAACGGAAGTTTGGTACCCTAGCGGGGCAGGAATGGATCCCTGAAACCCTTTGCTCTAAGCCCGTGTAGTGTCCTTGACCTCTGCTGCCACCGCTCTGCCCTCTCCCAATCCCGAAACTTCTGCATCTTGCTGCCTCCTGTGTCCACTACCTTTAAGAAGAAAATAAGCCTTAAAACCACTTACCTCTGTCCATGTGTTGATGTATTAACAATTTGGTGCATTTTCTGACTTCTGGTTGAGATCTCCATTCCTGTCCCTGCTAAAGCTGTCCCCTTTTCACATCACAGGGAGCCGTGGGCTGTGATGTGGGCTCCATCATAATAGGACCCACAGACCCAGCCGTAGAGATGGAGAGAACTGGAAGAGTAACTTTTCCCACATGGATTAGTGCTTCAGTTGGCCTAGATCTACCTAGTGAACATAAAATGGGGTTTCCACCTCTAAACTGTTGATTTTTGCCTCCAAGGAAATAAAGTAAAAGAACGTTTAGCATTTTTTTTCTTTCAAAGCTGGTTTGTAAACATGGAGTCAAGCCTCATTGTGACTGAGAACCTTCAAGAAAATAGATGAATTAGGGGATTGTTTGGGGGAGGTAGTGGAGGTTAGCTATGAGGAAGATCTGTGTTCTAAGCTGCTTATATTTGTCAGGAGAAAAAGGTTCACTCTTGCAATTTTTTTATTAGCCTTTTGTGCTCTTGCTGGAGTGATCTTTCTGAAGCGTGTATGTTGTATTTATTCTTTCCTGTTAGTGGTTGAAAACTATTATCCAGTTACTCAGTGTTCTTGTGTTCTTAACCGTTTTAGTTAAATTCAGACGATTTAAATATTTGGGTTCCTCCTTTTGTGATCTGATATATTCCTTCTGCATCACATGGCAACCTTCCTCAAATATCCATAAGTAACCAGCTAAATAATTTCAGAGGTAGTGACTCCAGTTGCCTTAGGGAAACTCAGTAGCCAAGGCATCATTTATTTGCATAATTTAGGTGTAAAACTGGGGAGGGTTGGGGAGAACATGGTAGATATTACAGCGTCATGTAATGATGAAGAGAGTTCGGGTTTTGGAGCAGTCCGAGAACTTGGTCAGACCTAATCTTTCCAGAGTTTATGCTTTCTCAGCCACAATTAGGACAGTCTGCCTGCCTCCTGGGGATCCGATGAGGGTCCCAGGGGAAAATGTAAGGGAGTCACTAAGTACACAGTAAGCTTCCAGTAGGCCTAACTGATGCTCCATCTTCTGCGTGTGAAATCTACGTCTAGGTCTGAGTCATCAAGAATTTTAATAAAATTAGGGCTCCTGGGTGGCTCAGTTGTTAAGTGTCTGCCTTCGGCTCAGATCATGGTCCCAGGGTCCTGGGATGGAGCCCTGCATCGGGCTCTCTGCTCGGCGGGAAGCCTGCTTCTCCCTCTCCCATTCCTCCTGCTTGTGTTCCCTCTCTCGCTGTGTCTCTCTCTGTCAAATAAATAAAATCTTAAAAAAAAAAAAAAAAGAATTTTAATAAAATTGTACAAACACCTATGCACATAATTTATGATTTCGTTAATTCCATTTCCTTAGAAATTGGGACGCAGTGGAAAGAAGACTGGCGTAGGGGTTAGAACGTTTCATTCTGAGTCTGGCCTCCTTGTGAATTCGCTGTGTGACGTGGGTTGGCCTCTCCCCCGCCCCCCACCAGGAGCTTCCCTCTCCTTGTTTGTGAAACAAGGTGGTGGACTAAGTCATCTGTGAAATCTCCCCCAGGCCTCCAGCTCTGTGAGCATGTTGTTCCCAACTGAAGTTTTCTCTGACCGGTTGAGTTAAACTGTTGCAAGGAGAGACAAATGTTCTTTCCATAGTAGAAGCCCATTATATAGGAATTGCATATAATAAGTGATGTTTGGCAATTGAGTGATTTCATTGGAATAAATCCTACCTAGTCCTCTAGAATGGTGATCATTCAAAAAAAGCATACCTTTATTTGGGAAGGACTTTTTAATCACAAAAAGCTCATAACTGTTATTCAGGTCATATTAATCATGTTTCTGAGACAAGTATAGTATTTGCCTTGATGCTATTTTGCTACAGAGACTATCATAATAGTGTACCTACTAGTACAGAGAGTAATTCAAATCCATAGCTATTCCCCAGGTATCATTTTAGCCAATGTTTTTTTTTTTTTTTTCAGATTTTATTTATTTATTTGAGAGAGAGAGAGAGAGAGAGAGAGCATGAGGGGGGGAGGGTCAGAGGGAGAAGCAGACTCCCCGCCAAGCAGGGAACCCGATGCGGGACTCGATCCCGGGACTCCAGGATCATGACCCAAGCCGAAGGCAGTTGCCCAACCAACTGAGCCACCCAGGCGCCCGTAGCCCGTGGGTTAAAGCTTCCCTGTAACAGGAAATTATAGAACAGTTAATAAGTAGCTACGTTTTCGCATTCTGAATTTTTTTTTTTTTCAAGTAGGCTCCATGCCCGGTGTGGAGCCCAACACGGGGCTTGAACTTGCAACCCTCAGATCAAGACCTGAGCTGAGATCAGGAGTCAGATGCCTAACCGACTGAGCCACCCAGGCGCCCCTTGTGTTTTGAATTTCTTTGTCTTTTTATATTTATTTTACCTTCCAAGGGCTGGTGCTAGTGAGTAGCCACGACCAGGAAGAAAGTGTAGCATGCTAAAGTTGGAGAATCCAGAAGGAAGATCTGGTCTCGCCTCCCTCGAAGGGGCAGTAGCTCAGAAAGTCCCGTGACTGACCCCGGTCGCGTGGTCGTTGGGCCCCCGGCTCCATCTCCTTTCCCTGGGCCACGGGGCCGCCTCAGAAGCAGAGGGCCTGGGGGACTGGCAAAGTGCGTGGTCTGGTTGTGAGAGACCAGAGTTACGTCAGCGGTCCACGGGTGGTTCTCTCGTGAAGCCAGCAGCAGGGGAGTGATGGAGGGCAGAGGTAAGCCTCGACTCACCGGTGTGGGCTCGGGGACCTTGTCTGTCCTGGTCACCCGTGTGGCCCCAGCATCTCACCTCGTGCCTGTTACATAAGAGGTAGACAGTAAAGGTTTGTTAAATGAAGGAACATGAAGGAAACCTTTCTTATCAATCATGGAACATTTAGAACGCTTGCTTTCTTCTTTAAGGTCCTTGAACACGTGCCCCTGCTACTGTATATCTTGGCAGCCAAAACCTTAATTCTCTGCCTGGCATTTGCCGGAGTCAAAATATACCAAAGGAAAAGGTTGGAAGCAAAACAGCAAAAACTGGAAGCTGAGAAAAAGCAGCAGTCCGAGAAGAAAGAGAACTAAAGGGAAACCAGAGGTACTGGGACTTGGCACATGCGGAATGTCCGGTGGGCATTCTGCCAGGCCAAAGAAGTTCCTGTCAGGGACCCTTCCTTTTTTTGGAAAAGGTGTTTTTCTGACTGAAACTCAGGAGTTGGCACAAGGGTGAGCAAAGTTAAAACAGGCAAGGGAAGCCCGTTCTCTTTGAAATGTTGCAGGTTGAAGTTCTGTCCCAGGCAGAGTCCTCCTTTTGTGTGTTAGACCGAGAAGAGGAAGGGAAAGACGGGGTGTGGGTCATAAATGCTTCTCCCACCCACAGGCATCCACGGAGGCCTCCAGGGAAGGGGGGCGTTGGTGGCAGCAGGACTGACCCTTCATTTTCCCTCCAGCCTCGAGCCTGGTTTTAACCAAGGGGGGATGTTTAGCTGGGCAGAAAATCGTGAGGTTGAAAATACATTCTTTAATAGATAGACTTCAGTGGTTTCCGTTTGTTAAGTTGAAATGGCTGAGCATGAGGGGTAAATGCCGAGCAAGAGACGTTTCATACTTGTCCTTTTGGTCTTCCTTTCTAGAATTTGCAATTTAAATGTCAGCCTGAGTGGATTCCAGCTGAGAAGAAAGACGAGACAATTACTGAATGATGTGTCAGAGGATAAACTCCCAACCTATAGGGTTAACTAAAAATTATATGAACTTTTTTATGCTCTTAAAAGAACCCGTATTTTGTTTACTAAAATAAAATACCTTTGTAAAAAAGGGGGTCTCTGTCTCTGGAATAAGCCAAAGTCTTTCGGTCTCACACAGACACATACCCGCCATGTTGTGAGGGGAGGGAGTTTTGCAAGCCCGCACCCCTCCCAGCCCGTCTCAGCTCTGGGAGGTCACAGGTGCTCTTGACACAGGACTAGGCCGCAGGAGAAGTGGCTTCTGCTCTAGGGGTGGAAGGCTCGGCTGCCAGCCCTCCCCGGCCCTCCGGCCCTCTCCTCTGCTGCCCTCCCCGCACACCGCTCTTCTCTAGCCCGCCTTCCGCCATGTTTTCACTGTTGGGGTGGAGGGAAGCTGCACGCTCGCTTGCCTGGGGAGCGTTGGCGCCTCTGCCGACCCAGGAGGGTCCCCGTGGGGAGGGCTACAGGGTGAGACCCGCCGGCCACACTGGGTGGGAGACTCGGAAGAACTCACATCCCTGAGTCCTGTCATGAGAGAGTAAGAAGAGTGGGTGTACTGTCCTCTCCCCCCGGTTTGCTTGTTGGGGTTTGCTGGTAAGAGATGAAGGAGGGCGCTGAGCCAAGGAGACTTCCAGATCTGAGAGGAGTGATACTAAGAATTTTTTTGACTCAGCACCTAACAGACTGAGATCTCTATTAAAAGATTCCTGTTGTCTCACTTCTCTGGATACCAGAGTGGGTGAGGGATGAGGATACATAGGGTGCAGTGTTTGGTTTGGTGCCTTTGCTGGTGGCCACGGGGAAAATTTGCATGAGCGTACGATTGACCCTTGAACCCCATGGGTTTGAACTATGGGGCTCCACTTATAAGCAGGTTTTTTTCAATAAATACAGGACAGCACTGTAAATGTATTTTCCTTATGTTTTTCTTTTTTTTTTTTTTTTTTATTTTGCAAGAGAGAGAATGAGAGACAGCATGAGAGAGGGGACGGTCAGAGGGAGAAGCAGACTCCCTGCTGAGCAAGGAGCCTGATGTGGGACTCGATCCCAGGACTCCAGGATCATGACCTGAGCTGAAGGCAGTTGCTTAACCAACTGAGCCACCCAGGCGCCCTCCTTATGTTTTTCTTAACATTTTTTCTCTAGCTTGAAGAATATGTTATATAATACATACACAGAATATGTGTTAATCAACTTTATGTTAGTCGGTAAGACTTCTGGTCAACGGTAGGCTATTAAGTTTTGGGGAGTCAAAAGTTAAAACACGTGGATTTTTGACTACACAGGGGTTTGGCACCCCTAATCTCTGCATTGTTGAAGGATCAACTGTATATTAATAGATGTCCACTCCACTCTGGCCCAGGTTGGTGGAACTTTGAATTTTAAACAAGAGGTGTAAAAGGAATTCTATCTTTCTCGAATTTTACTGTGATTGCTGGATGCTCTTAATCACAATTTAGAAAGCAGAGTTTACATTTGTAGCTTGACCCAACAAGCTACAAATCCCCAAATAGTCAATAGGGCCTGGGTCTCATGGTGCATGAAGAGATGCCGGAACAGAAGTGTAATGCCCTAGGATTTCTGCCCTCCGACCCCAACGCTTCCCTAACTTGCTCAGGTGGGGCCCAGAACTGACCCTGGGCCACGGCCAACGCTCCTGCTTTTGTCAGGGTGCCCTGTGCAGCCTGGCTGGCCACCCACCCACCCACCGTGGTCTAGGAACTCTGCCTCTGCTTCCTTCCCTCTCTGGGGATCTAAGGCATTCCTGGCTCCCACCAGGCATCACACCCATCACCTCTGGCCATCTTCCCTCCACGTGCATTCCCTGCTGTGCTCCTCAGAAGTCCAAGGACGGGGGCTGTTGGCTTTCCTGGGGAATCTAAATATGCCTAAGCAGTGGATGGTCACAGGCGCTTTTCTAGGGGGACTTAAAACTCGGCTCTGGAATTTGTGGAACATGGGGTCATCTTGGAAAATTTGGTAGAGGGGGACCTAAGGATTGAACTTAAACCATTGACCATACCCATGGGTTTTTTGTTCAGTGTTGGTTTTTTTCCCGTCACCTTTCTTACACACTCTCTTCTACCACCAGGGGGAGATGAGTAACACCTCCTGGAGTTACTGACAACCATTCCATTCCATATGCCCGAAGTCAGTAGATTTATGGTTTGAGTTTAAAGAATTGGTTGGTTGGATGCATGCATGCGTGGGCGAATGTAGGCAGATAGAGAGATTGGTAAGGCCCACAACCGGGACCCCATGTGGCCTGCAGCTAGCCAGCCCCTCTCTGGATCACAATCGTGAGCAAATCCATAAAGAGGAGACCGCCCCTGAGTAGCTGAAAGATGTTTCAGAGAGCATAAGCTGAAATCTGTGTTCTCTCCCACAGGGGAGCCCCAGGATCCCCTTACACAGATCCTCTTTAATCTTATTAGACACACCCCAACACCTTTTTATTGGTTTCAAGCTGACAACATATTGAAATACCTTAGAGGTATGCCCACCAAGTCTCTGAGAACTCACTGTATGATCGCCAGAACCCCACACCGGGAACACCGCACATTAGGACATTATGTTCCCGATGATGACCTTAGTCTCTAAAGGAAGGTTCAGCTGTGTTCTCATACTCTGCTTCACAAGGCAGAGACACACAGAATGTATTTCAGGAACTGAATAATTCAAACAAAAAGTCTTGGGGGCTTTAGAAAGCGTCACCTCTCCCCAGACAGCGTCCAAATGATCATCTCTAGGGAAACACAGCTGTCTAAATGACTCAGTTCAATGAGATGCCTGGGCCTTGACACCTGACCTGCTTACATGGATGCTCCTTGACATCAGCTGTCCCGTGCAGGTCACCAGTGTGCTGGAGCGAAGCCAGGGGATGACGGAGAGATTCTGGAGGGAAAAGAGAACTGAGGCTGAGTTCTCCAACATCAGCACACACGAGCGGCCGTTTAACATGCAGATTCCTGGGCTAGACTCCAGACCCACCACAGATCCTCAGGGGATCCCAAGGAGGTGGTCCCTGGACCTTCTTTTGAGCTTTAAACAGACAGGAGATGAGCCCCGAAAGCCGAGTTTGGGAAAGAGCATCCAGGGTAGGACGGCAAAGATCCGGAGACAGCGAGGTAGCGTGACTCCTCGTTCAGCCCTTACTCTCCCACGTGCTCTACTTCTATCACCTCCACCAGCTGTCATTATCCTCAGATAAGGAAACAGAGGCACAGAGCCGTTAATAGCCCCGTCTAAGGCCCCCAGTTGGCCAGGACAGAAACATTTCTGCACAATGTGTTAGTTACGAATAACTGCTTAGTTTTCAAATCATTGGCTCAGTATTTTCGTTGTGTTTCCAGATGTTTGGGACACTCTCTAATGTACTGATTGTCCTTTTTTCAGATTCACAGTTTGCCCCATCAGATGAAATTTGGAGGTACTTCCCCTGAAAACATAGGGAGCTGATAACTTGAAAACTGTGAAAGAAGTGTTCTGTGACTCCCAACTTTGCAGCAAGCTGTGTGCCTCCTGGGAGGGGAGAGAGACCTCAGAAGCCATAGGGGAAGGCAGGATTGAAGGAAAGGCTCTTCTGGAAGGAGGACGCTGGAGCATGATCAAGGCTGAAGGAGACACAGAGGAAGGGGGACCGGCTGCAGGAGGAAGTGGGAGGGACCCCAGGGGGGGGCATCTGGGGACCAGGCCCTGAAGGCCTTGGAAGCCATGGGGGTGACTTCAATTTCCCCTCTGGCTTGGCACAAGGCCTTCTGTTCCCAATGTGGGAGGGCTGCTGGGTGCAGTGGGGAGAGCCATTGTGGCTTGACCAGAGCCGCGAGGAGCCAGGCTCTGCAATCCTCTCCTGCCTTTCCCCTCAGATGGTGGTACCTTCCTCCCTATTCCCCTGTAACCTCTGTGGCGTCTCCCCACTTCTGGGTGCTTGTGGGTGGGAGAGAGCTGAGCTGTCAGGTGTCAGAGTAGCTGATCCAGGCGACAAGCCCAAAATGGAAGAGTTAAGCCTTTAACCACTTCCTCTGAGGGTACAAGATGGCACCTGAGGAAGGACCAGCTGGCCCTGCTCCGTTTCCCCCATGAGCACCTGACTGAGTCAGAGGGCAAAGTGTCCCCAAACCTTCCCCTTCCCCGTGAGGATGTCTCAGCCTCAGAGGAGCCTGACGACCTGGGCCAAGGAGCCCAGGAATGAAGGCGCCAGGCTGGGGGTGCAGATGTGTGACCCGTCAGAGATCGCGCGGCCCCGGCTGTCCCCACGCCCGGTGTGGGGAGGGCAGCTTCCCCCATGCGGCCTGCGGGGTAAAGCCTTGCAGTTGCCTGCGGTCAGGCCTGAAAAGTCACACGCAGGGTTTTGTCCCCTCGGTGGGCCAAGTGATGCCTCTGCCCCCCAGCGCTTGTCCTTCCTCTGCATGAGGCCCGACGGCTTCTCACTCAGCCCTGTTGTCCTCCTCCATCCTGGCCCTTCCCATTCTTCCTGTCTTTCCGCCCCCTCCGCCCAGCACACACCCCGTGTTCACACAGCCACGTCTCACACACACACTCACATTTCACACACACACTCACACACAAGTCTCACAAGGTCTCATACACACAACTCTCACACAATCTTACACACTCACAAAGAGTCTTACACACACACAACTCTCTTACATGCGATCTCACACACACAAAATTCTCATGCAACTCTCACACATCACACACACAACTCTCAGAGTCTTACACACTCACAAAGAGTCCCACATACCCACACACGTCTCTCTCACACACACACACACCTCTTACACGTAATTTCACACACACAAAATTCTCATGGTCACACTCTCACACCTCACACACATACAGCTCTCATAGTCACACACACAACTGTCACACGACATACACTCATGGTCGCACACACATCTCACACACACACACCTCTCTCAGACACAATCTCACACATATACTCACAACTCCCACCTGGTCACACTCACGGTCACACACTCATTTCTCACCCATACACTCACTCACACACACTCACTCACACACCCCCTGCCTGCCTGAGTGGGAGGTGGGTAGATTTTGTGCACTTGTTCAAGCTCCTGCCTGGCTTGGCCTTTTCTCCCTGTGATGAG